ATCAAGTTTATCACAGTCTTTTATCACAGTGATCCAAATCAATCCTTGATCAGAAAACCCCTAAAAGCCTCACAAGGACTAAGAGGCAATAGGTGTAAGAATAGGTTAGTTAAGCTAATTGATTCCATGTAAATAAATAGTATGTTTATCAAACAAAGTCGGGTTAATTAACTTAGCGTTAACACAGGACAAATTAGCAACATAAAGTGATGACTCCCCTTCAAGAATTTGTGAGACATGCGAACCACCCACTCTAGCCGCCTGCTTTGCTTGACTCTCTTACTTTCTTGCGCTGTTGACGCTATTGACACTATCTGCTTTGTACGCCAGCTCCATGAAGTTATCTATTTGTAGTTAGTTTCAGCCTTTTGCGCAACCCTAGCCAGCTCGTTTGCGGAAGCGGCAAGCCACCAGCTTCGGCTGCCTGTCGTGCTCGGTTCTCCCAGTCTTTGGCCAGCGCCGCTGACAGCAGCGAGATGAGATGTAATAGCCATCGTTGGAGTGGCTTCAAAATGCTCGAGGTTGTGTCCAATAGTGAGAATATGCATAATTACTAGATGTTTTCGGAAAAGGTGGTAAGCTCTGTTGTAAAGATGCGAAGCAGGTCTACTTTATATATGAACTGCTGACAGGGAGGCTTGGTTTCAGCTGCCGCCTGCGCTATACTGGAAAAAGCTTAGTGCACACTGCGTGTGCATGCAGCCAGCGTATCGTCGATATGTAGCCACACCATTGCGTATTTTTCCATCTGAACATTAGTCATATGTAGGATATATGCAAGTAAAAACAATCAGAGATTTTGAACATGTTTCTATAAGCGTTTCCTGCTCTTATGTACTTGCTTAAGAAATAGTGTTCCGCCACACCGGTTGTTCCGTCACGAAGGGATGCACGTTAATAATAGTAGCCTTATATCTCGTGAGGCGCATTGTTAAGATATAGCAAGTGTTTTCGCATATCTAGAGGGAAGATATCTGCACAATTACGATTTTGTATTGGCTGGCATACATCGACTCGGAATTGACTCTAGTATATCCCTGGGTATGCCAATATAAATTCCACGATGGTTGCAGGCTATGGTGTTGCTGCACAGTCAAAGTAACTGTATTTTTGTCCGTTACGGCGGTTGTTCCGTTACACCCGATTGTGAGATGAAATTACCAGCCATGCTGTTTACACAGCGCGCTTCCTCTCTATGTCACCAGCGAAGCACCCCAAAATGCAGTACTCTATTAACTAGTGAACCTGGAGCTCGTAGATTGCCTACAGGACACAGGAAAGCCAGTATAGGATGTCCGAAGTGTCTTGGATTACGCATGCCAGTCACAATAGAGAAATCAGAGGCAAGCTAAGGTCTACTAACTGGATAGTTGTGACTGACAAAGTTCAGGGCAAGACAAAAGGTAACAAGCAACTAGCACGTACCGTGATCCTCTTATTCACCCGCTATGTAGCCATTCATGCTTACAACTAGTTAGTTATAAGCCTTTTACACGAGAAGCGTCAACAGGTCTTGAATGCCGGTATGCTCACTAGTCAGCAGCATAAGGGGAGGGTAATCACTCTAGTTAGCCATGTTTTCTATCGGAAGGAGTGACCAAAGACTAGGTATCTGTCTCCCAGACCATTCGCGATTATCGACTCTTCGCACAACATTGGGTCTATCGTGACCCACAAGCGTTCTCGCTTCCAAAAAGACTAAAAACATCGTATTTTTGTAGTAAAGTCTTCTGGTTTTCATTCCAGATACAGTCAGAAGTCCGCAACTGAAAGCATGGCGGTGCCAACTGCTATGCTGCAGGTGTTGCTGCTTAGTTCCACTTTCTTGGTTGCTATTGATGCTACCGGCATCGTTCTTGCCGTTTCTGTAAGTTGTGCCTCTAAATACACATCCGAATCTAAGACAGTACACAATAGACCATCACGGGAGATCTCGGAGGTAATGCCACCGAGAGCTTCTGGGTAGGAGCCGCGTACTTGCTTTCCATGTGCTTGGTGCAGCCTATCGTTTCCCGGCTCTTTGATATATTCATCTTCAAAAGCCTTGTTCTGGCGTCTATCGTGATGCTGGGCATTGGGTCGCTTCTCTGTGAGAGCGCAGATGGGCTGCCGCTACTGCTAATAGGACGCACTGTGCAGGGCCTTGGCGCTGGAGGGCTCACGACGCTCTCTTATGCCGTCTACGACCAAATGAAAAATCTGAGTGGGTCCGAATCTTCGAATGCAGTCAAGTTTTTAGCTGCAATAAGTTTTTTCGCCGCCGCTGGCACCATCTGCGGTCCTTTCATTGGCGCTGCGCTAAGCAACAACCATCAATGGGTAACGAATGTCCCCTGCTTCAAAGACGTGAGCTGATCACCATATTAGCGCTGGATTTTTCGTCTCAACATACCCACGTGCATTGTACTTGGTGTGCTTGTATACAACTGTAGCGACGTCCCTGGCCGAGACACTTCGCCAGAACCCAAAGCCTCTGCGCGCAACAGCAGGGATATTCCCAATACTGAACCTCCTACTAAGAAACTTTCAGATATGGTTTTTATAGATATTACACTCTTTATAATGTCCGTTGTACCTTTGCTCGTGGGCTTGAGCTTTGCTGGTAGCCTCTATAGATGGAATGAATGGCAAGTGATTGCACCGATCGCCACTGGAGGCGTCTTCCTTTTGCTGCTTATCGTCAGGGAACTGTGGTCAGCCAGCGCTTCATTTCCGCCAGGAAGCAGACATGTTTCCGGGGAGACTTTAGATGGTCTGAAGTTGCTCAAAGAAAGACAAAATATCATCATTTTTGGGGGTGCTTTTTGGCTAGGATTGCTTGTAGGTCTCCACGCAGCTCCGGGAACATATTTCATCTAACGCACCGCAGATGTACGCGCTACTCTTCTTTCTTCCCATATACTACCGAGTTGTCAAGGAGCGGTCTGCGATCACTACGGCTATCTTCCTGTTGCCACAGACGCTAATGATGGCTCCGTGTGCCGGGGTCGTACTAGTACTTGTGCGGTGGCTCCGACTGCACCACAGCAGCACACTTTTACTCGGCTGGTTCTGTACGGCGATTGGAATGGGTCTGCTAGCCTTGCTCGGTGCCGAGAAGTCGGCTGCATCAGATGTATCTCTGAACCTGCTCTCCGGGTTCGGCATCGGCCTTCTTCTACCAGCCTTAGCATATAGCGCTCAAGAAAGCACCCGCGTGGAGAATGCGACTAGGGTTTTCATCTTCACACGCTACTTGGGAAGTGCCTCAGGCCTAGTCATCGCTGGGCTTGTGTTTCAGCGCGTGTTGCGAAGCAATCTTGGATCGACCAAGTTCAGCAGCGAGGCTGACAACATGACCAGATACGCCACCAAGTTTATGTACTCGATCCAGCAGATGTCGAGTCCGGAAGACAAGCAGATCCTGACTCATGTAACTGAGATGTCTTTGCGCACACTATGGCTAGTCTTGTCACTCCTATCCCTCGCGATGTTTCTGCTGAGCTTCGGGTCATTTGTAGTGGGTAGAGAACAGCAGGGGCGGGGAAGCCAGATGAATGGACGAAGCACTGACAGCGTGTCATCGCCTCGTAATACCTGGGAACTTCCCATTCCTAATAGGGATTCATTTGGAAAGGACATCATTCTAGAAAAGCCCCTCGATATGGGAACATAGCTGTAAAGTTGGCGATTGCGCACAAGAGAAGTAAAGAGAAGTAAAGTTATCAATCGTCTGTCCAGTGCCAGATGAGCTATTTCTGATATTACGGAATTCGTTATCAGTATGCTGTCCCTTGGTTCCCCGTACCCCTGCCTTCATAAATTACATATCCGCACACATGTGAAGCACGCTGCTATGATTTTTTTTTGATTCAGCTGCATATGCAGCCCGAGAGATGATGTCGATGTAAGCACAAAAGTAAGAGCGTTATGTACTGAATAGAGCCATATATCAAAGACTAGCAGGTGTTCTCAAACTAAATTATGGCGTGCTGTCACGACTGTCTACGAAGTGTTCTGAAGCTAGTAGATTGTGACCGGAAAAGAGTCCTAGTGCTCAGGCCCTAGTAATAATCTGGTTCTCAGGACCCACCTACCCGCCCCCAATGCTTACAACGGATTATAAGCTGGCCCTACGGCCAGCGGTTCCTTGCTATAGGCCCCGATAATTACTATCGCGTTCTTCTCCAGTTAGCTGACAAGGACCAAACGTGATGACAGCCCGGACAGTGGCGATGGCAATGATAGCGGTGATGAGTAGCATGATGCTTTTCGACATGAGCCATAATAAGTAACTAGTTACTTAGAAATTCACGTTTCTCCAATCGTTGCAGATAAAGCGGGACCGGCTTGGGCATGCAAATTCTACAGTAACGTTAGTTCAATTATTGTGTGCGTTAGTCTCAGGTCATTCATATTAAGAGAGAAAAAACAATTTTCTATGGTTGTAAGTAGTATGCAAGGTTAGTAAAAAACCGCTAAAGAATGATGTTGCGCACCTATCCCCCCTCCAACCCCATCTCAATAGAGTTGTACAAGTGATCTTACAGGCTATGCAAGATCGCAACACCAAATCCCAGTAGAGTGCGCACATCCAATTTCAGAGAAGTCTTTTGACATCAAGATCTCTGCGTGGCCGGTTTGCCCTCTATAATCCCAGCCGTCGGACTCACGCTGGCATACGCCATCCAGCCCTGGGGTTTCAGGTTTCTCGCACAGCCAACCACCTACAAAAACGTGTTCAAAATTGGTGGTATCACCAGGGGCCAGGACTTGACCAAACGTGCCGGGATTGAGCTTGTGGATCATGACTCCTTTGCTCGCTGTCACAGTGTCCATAGCGTTCAACTCCAGCTGCCGCTTGTGTGTAAGGGTTTTCATTTCCATCTTAGTGCGCCACTTGTCGACAACGACCATATAGTCAGCATTAGGGACCACCGGTATCACAGAGCTGCTAGGAAGAGAGGATGGCGTGGTGGCAATGTGTACTTCACTCCTACATGCTGTATGCGTTCTGGCAACAGTTGCTTGCATGAAGTCACCAGAAGCTGCATGGACTACGGACAGCCAACTAAGCATAGCCAAAGCTAGAATCCCGTTGAAAAACATCATCGTATTGCTTTGTGAGACGAAAAGACAGACGTACAAAAGCCGTTCTGCAGAAAGAGGAAATCTGGTGCAATGAACATAAGAAATGGGAAGTAGTTCTGCTTATACATATGTACATGAATAAGGTGTGTAACCATGTAAGTTATGGGATTTCCTCTGTCATACCACATCTTGAAAAAACAGACTTGGCACAGAATATCCATGTCAGCATTTTGCATAATTTGATTAGTGACTTCACATGTTGATCCTGTTACCATGGATTAATCGTTTAGTCAGAAACGGTTTCTTTTATAAAAAAAACGCTAGTAGATATACATCGCACTATTACCAGTGCATGGTTCGTGAATATCGGCCATCGGAAAGACGTGTTGTGGCACGCAGTAATTTGTTCCAGCAAAGCGAAGCATTGTGCAGGAGCATGTATCAATCAGATGGTAGTTCGATTGATAGCTCTAGAGACTGCATAGTTAACCAACGCGCGCGTCGCGGTACTGTTGGAATTGCATCCAGGCCACATGTCTACCCTTACACAAATGTAAGCAGCTTATTTAAGCTGTTCTGTCTGATGACGTTGATCACCGTAAGTGAAATTACAAGTAGCGATTCAATTTCGCTTAGCATAGTCTGCTCCTCACCTGGCGTAGTCGTGACAAGGACAATGATTATCTTCAGTTGTAGTCAGCTTACAACTATCAAGTCCAACGTTTTGTCGGTAATTCAGGATTCTGCTGAGTGGTCCGTTGGCCTAAGTATGCGGATCAATATCACTCTTGGAATTGCCTTTTGTCTCTTGCGCTGTCGCCTTACGCTCACGACCACGCGTTCCCCTGCCTATGCGTGCTGCGCGAGCGCCGACAATCAACGATTGGTGATGTCGACCGTAGCGCTTTCATTTTGTTGATCTCCTGGTGCAATCGTCGGCTATGGCAAAGAACATCTTGGAGCGCCACGGGCTTTCGGATATGCCTCTATAGCCATGGTTTGTATGCGCCACGGTTTATACTCGTGTGAGACTACCTTGCGGTTAGCAGGAATGAAAACATACATAGCAGAAGAAGCGGTGGGCTCATCGTATTACCTATGTACTAAAGCCTATATTGCGTGTCTAAGGGCTGTATTTTTGGCAATTCTTCGCAGCGGCTTTATGTCTTCTGACTGGCTCCACATTGTATATCATGCATGGTAAGACAATTTGTGGTTGACGGATCGGCTGCTGAGGCAGAACAGGTCGTAACGGGGGCTGAATTCGTTGTCGAGCTAATTCGAGTATTGGTGATATGGGATGTAACGGACGCCGTTTGCTGCCGCGGCCATGAAGAGGGACATCCATTGTGTATCCGGGTCGTGCGAAATGCTGTTTTTCTTCTGTGGAAGCGAGCACGACTCCAATTGCATCTAGTCGAGCTTTTCAACTCAACACCATTGTGGTGTTGCGCGTGTTCAGTTAAGACCGAGATTGCAGTGAATATATCATGACCATGAGCCGTTTTGCAGCAAGAAAATCATGTAGATAATTAGCTATGCACTCTTGTCTACATCGCTCGCGGCCTGCCACGATGACACTTCAATGACTGGAGTAACTACAGCACGGCCAAAATTTTGGTCATCGTACACCGCCCGCCAATATTTCGCCTAGGCATATAGGAAGTCAAAAAGTGTCGCTGGCCTCGTCGAGTAACTAAGATGCTTGCGCTGGCGCATGGACTCTGAATGCGATGATGCCAGCTCAGCACATCCAGGCGGGCACATCCTTGGAAGACGTAGGTACAGCAGACTTTGTTTGTTGCCCTGCCATTTCGTCTGGTAACGGTGTTAGCATGACGCATGTAAGAGCGTTTTGGCGGGGGACAGTAAGCGTTTTCGCTTGGGAAGAACCTGACACTAATGCAAGTCACTGGAAACGTGAAAGTGTCAGATCCGGTCGCACAGACCATACTAACGTGCATCCCTTCGTACCGGAACAACCGGTGTGGCGGAACACTATTTCTTGAGCAAGCAGATAAGACACAGAAAAACTTATCGAAATATATTCATAATCTGTTGCGATTTTCACTTGCATACATCCTACACCTGACTCAGGTTGAGATAGAAAAATACATCGTAGTGCGGCTGTGGGACGTCAATCTGCTGGCGACGACATTTCGCACCTTAACTGGCGTCTCAGCCTACGCAACCATTTTATTTCAAATTTGCTCGTCGGGCGCATTGAGTGATTTCCCATATATGAAAGTCTTGGATCCTTGTCTCGAAATAGTAAATAATGCTCTGTCGTGATGATTAGAAAGTTTCTCCGTTGCCAGAGCGATGAGCAAAATTCGCGATGAGAGTTTAGCGCAAAAAGCTCAGCTTTGTCATCTGAAATCTATTCACGTGACCTTGATCCTGGTTAGTCATGTGACTTATTCTTCTGGCACGTTCTATGAGTCTTTGGTCTTTGTAGAGGCGCACGCGTGGAGCGAACGACAGTCACTGCTATCGAGTGCATTAAGTAGCGCTGACGGTATGTAAATTTCACTTCTAAACCCCATGATTGTCCGGATGTTTTAACGTACACACATATCCTGGTCGTGCTGACAGGAGTATGTATACTGCACTAACAATCTGATTTGCTAAGCCATAAAAGTGCATAAATGCCAAGCAGGCAGCAGCCGACGCACGGCCGCTGTCATTACTTGAAGAATCCCCTGAGCTGATTCTTGGTCTTATATATTCTCAAACCAAAGCCGTTCGATGTCTCCGATAGCTCTTTCAGAGTAAGTAGCTTTTTACGCATTCTCTGTCCATCACAATCATCACTACACGAGTATGTCCCCCTAGTGTCAGATGAATGTTTATGTTAACAATTTGGGACTTGCGCTAATTATCACTCATAACTATTAGTGGAATCGTTAGTTTACACACTCAGCAACGGTCGCATCAATCATTCAGCCAAACTTGTTAATGACGATACGGGGATCTGGAACGAGAATGATCGGACTGGAGTGATTTATCGCGCCTGCAATTGCAGCACAATTGATGACTCTGGAAAAGTGTTGGGCAAATGGAACCAACCTCATCTTGTGGCGAAGGTTAGGGACGAGACATTCGCAAGTCAATGCAATCGTGACAGGTTTGACGTGTGGGTCTTTTGTGAGGGAACGACGCGTGCTGCAAGTGCAAGGAAGTTCCTTGATGACCTTGACAGTATGGCTCTATCAAAATACTCCTAAAAAGATGTATATCTAATTAGTTTCAGGCTCTAAAACCTACCCGGGATCCCTTGTTGCAAAGAATCTGGGCAAAATCTAGATATGGCTGGAGATTGTACCGACCCATAGGACTGACTGTCTAGTTACAGTGATAGAAACGCACAGCCCAGATCATGGAAAACGGAATGCGCCAGAAGTCCAGGCACCAGTCGATCCAATGCTGGAATCATGGAGAGCGCCCGAGGCCTGGATGTGGTGATAGGAGGTGAAATACATATTTAGTTACATAGCGTTATTCTTACTATAGAGAGGTCATGGGCGTAAAATCATTTCACAGATTTGCTATTTCTTACCTCGATATGTGCTGACCGTCGTACTTGACCTCGTGGGATGTCATTATCACTATGATGCTTACCCAGTAAGCTTAGGACGTCAGGTGACTTATCAACACTAGTGTTGATGGCAGCAATCTCGACACCGTTACGCAGCACTCGTACAACCACATCTTTCGTATAGCACAATCCAAATCCTACCCCTCGTTTGATCTTTTCAATCTGGCTTTTCCACTCGACTACTGCGCCTTGCAAACTCAGAAGCACCTCGTCACCGATGGTGATATCTGTCATGGCTAGGGACAGGGCGCTGGAATTGGTAAAGCGCACCTTTACCTGTCCATTTACACGGCGTAGTCTCAGGCTGGGCTCTGCAAGTACAACAGCCATCTCATTACGTGAAGTGGAGTATGGCCATTTTATCATGACAATTGCTCTGATTTGTCCGGATGGAATGTTCGGAGAGATTTCCGCGATCGGTATCAGATCCATCTGTGAAAGGCCATCCAGACACATAACAACGACAAGGGAGATATTTTGAATTCCCAGCACGTCTTCTATATAAGCTATACCGCAAATGTCGGTTATGATGCTTACGATGATTGCGATTGACATAGTCAAACCTAGAGACGACAGCAGCAGTGGGTGGAGCTGATGACATGTTGTGTGCGTTGGTCTCTCTAGGCAACATCGAGTAAGACGATTAGGCCAGTTATCTGTAGACATCCTGTTACATTGATGGGCAATACCATTAGTATAACAAGTCTACAGCACATACAGCCATCGGTCCGCGCCCAGGAAGTCAGCCTCATCAACTTGCTCGAAAGAAGCCCCTTCGTTTGTATCATACAGGCCAGTGTTACCATAAGGCCCTTTGCTGCTGGAGACTGCAACAGGCGACCAGCTGCCTCTAGAAAGCCGTCGTAGTGTCGAAAAATCACCGTGCACTTTTTGAAGCCCAGGGTCGAAGATGTAGCCAGCGAAGAAGAATTCTATGTATAGGCGGTCTTGCCTTGCATGGCGTGAGCAGTTTTCTATCAACAGACGGGCTTGATCAAGGAGCATTCGGAGAGCCTCTGTGGTTTTCGACGTCCAGCGGCTGCTTACATGCTCACAGATATGAACTGCGCGCACTTGGAGAATACCAGAAAACCTGCAAAATTCGTTATGGAAAAAGTCTGCGCATATTTTCGGCACCGACACAGACAAAGTCTCCAGTTGAGAGAGTTTTCGAAACATTGCGCAGTAGTCCTCGGCATCACCGTTGGGAGAGCCAGGGTGCGAATGACAAAACCCGTCTTGCGATCGAGGACTGTGCTCTATAACCCGAAGCGTTGCGGGGGCTGCCTCAGTCATCGCCACCACGCTGTCGATGGTTGTCGAAGAATTGCAAGTCAGGTAAAACTCTCTAAGCCTTGTAGTAGTGCGGGCGATTGCAATGACGTCTCTATCTGTGATAGGCATAAAGGTTGTGTTCCCAAAGATTTTCAGGCGGTGCAAGTAGCTAAAGTCGACTGAAGGCAGGGGGTCGAGATCGGTCCAGTTCGTCTCTTCGGCCATCTGCTGGGTCGTCGGCTCAACGCACTGCAGCTCGAGGGATTCCAGTCGTACTCGGCGACCTGTCAGTAACATCTGCCACGATTCGGAACTAATGTACCGGATGGCTGTCCATGGACATGACAACGAAGTAAGACTGTCGCATTCCTTCAGTGACTCGTAGACGAGTGAAATCGTCTCGGCAGTATAGAAGCCATGAACACACACGCGCCTAATCGCAGATCCAAACCTAGGAAACTCTCTACAAATACTGGCCGTCCTTTGCAGGGCGGCGAAAGGGTTGCGGTAGACAGCAATGCCCGTTGGACGTTCGATGAGTTCGTAGAGTGGGTAGAGGCGCCGATGGGGAGACAGGTCAAACCATTGCTACACAGTTAGTCTTATCATGCAGAGCGTATTTTTCTCACAAAAAACACGGGGGGGGGGGGAGATGTGCTTACCTCTGCACCTCCCCAGTTTTTTAGGTAGAGCTCGCGCAGTGCATAGTCCAAGGCCCAGTCATGCCACCTTCTGCACACTAGCCGCAGTGCAGAACTCACATCCCACTTTAGCCGATCCAAAGGAAGAAGTCCTCTCACATAGCGCTGGCAGTGCGATGGAGATAGTAGCATGGATGCACCTGATATCCCATAGGTGAATGTAGGCCCGTCGCGTATATTGGCCTCTGCGACGTCCTCCAAGATCTGGGAAAGGATTTCGAATGGCAATGTTTGAATGCTCATCATCTGCGGCTACTCGGGTTGCCAAATGATGGTATCAGGGTTTAGACCATGAGCAAATGTAGACTGAAGAATAAATGTCTGAAGTTATGGGCGACGGGACATGCCTTGTACGTCTTTGCCTGTGAGAGAACACTCGGTATTCTATAAGCGTCCCAGCAAGACCTGCTAGTGTTTGCATTGATAGTGGATGTTTGCATTTACTTTCGCGTTCTGGTCAATCGTCACTACATCACTCTGTCGAATGAGCTATCAGTACTGACTTGTCCCCTCCATCTCCACAGTTTCTAAGCACTCAAATGATAGCATGTGTTGACGAGCACGCAAGTATGAAGCAGTCGGGATAGCAATGGCAGCGTTGTACGGCTGACAGCGTAAGCATTTGCGGAAACGCTGAGGCAGATGTCGAAGCCAGCCACACGTAAGCTGACTGTATAGCACACGAGCTGAGTAGTGCTGCTTTGTATCCGAAATCTAATGCACATAAAGTGTCTGGTTGCATAGCGAATGGCAGCCTTGACAAGAATTGCTATCTATCGAGCTCACTTCTTCCTCACTCAAAATGTACACAGAGACTCTCGTCCTTCTTCACTGGGCTGCCAGTGTTAGTGGGCACATGTAGGTGGTTTGATGTGTTTGCATGCTGCCCGCAAAAGTTGCAATATAGAATATGCAATACTGCTAGGCTAGACCGTATACTAACTTAATGACTGACCAGGTCACTTTGGTATCCTGGACCGCTCGGGGGGGCCAAAGAGGCCAACGCAATGTCTACATACGTAGACTCTGAGCTCAACTTCCCTCTGGGATGTTGTGACGAGAACGGCCAAGCTACCTTGCCGAGCCCGGGCATCTGCCGGGGTCACCTTGACATGTTCGACGAGCAGGAGCCGCAAGTAGTGTGGCAAGCAGGCCAGAATGCCTACTTCCAGCTTTCCGACCATACGTACGCAGCAGGCACGCCAGGCTCCACGCACCACGGAGGCAGCTGCCAGGTTGGCTTCTCTCTAGATCGTGGCCAGACATGGAAAGCGGCGGCTTCCTTCTCTGGCAACTGCCCGCGTCGGGCGGAAGATGGATCACCCAGCAGCCAGACGTTTGACTTCCAAGTCCCTCGTGGTATGCCGAGTGGTAACGCTCTGTTTGCTTGGGTCTGGCTGAACCGCGAGCACGAGTTTTTCGTCAATTGCGCTAAGGTCAGAATTACAGCCAACGCTTCGCGTGTCCTGTCAGCCGACATGTCTCTTCCTTCTTCTCGTGGACTCTGGAGGCAGAGCAGGCCGAAAGCTTTCCGCTCATGCGAATGGGACACAGCTCCCGTGATGAAAATGAGCTACTACACTACTGACGCTGACTGCATGCCCAACGCCAAACTACGGCATGCGCAAAGTGATGACTTTGAGCTTGGTTGGGATGTGGCGTGTGGCGTTGTAGAGGGTGATGGTGCTTTCCCAATCCAGATGATCGCCTGCTGACGGGGTTCACATCATCGCGCTTAGTACTAGAAGCAACAATCAAAAAAAGTAGTTAATCATATTGCAAGCCCGATGTCTTCACCGGAGAATGGACAGAACGTGGTACTGCAGCCGTTGATGGGAGGCGGCAAATCGACCACCATTGTCCCTATTCTGAGTGCATATCACGTGTGTAGCTGTCAGATTGTGCTACGTTATCAAAGGCGCGATCAAACACTTGTCATTGATTGACTGTTGTATCTGAGCATCATCCTCTCTTGTCTATCTGATCTGCCCCAATTTTCTAAGATCGTGGTGGATCGTGCGCGTTGACTGATCACAGAATTCAGGTGCTCCGATCAGCACTCGGATTTTATTAACTAACCAGTTAACTAGTTAACTAACTAGATATTTGCAACCCTTATGATTCAATTGGCCATTTTCAGCAGACGGGGTTTCTCATTATACAAGGACCGACTTTAGAAGACTGCGATTAAAGCGTTCTAATCGGCCGGTGCCGGCACACAAGGAGTCCCGTCACGGAGTGATGTGTTTACATTAACTATTTATTTGACAAGCAGTGTCACTCTCCTCTTACTTTTGGCTTCTTCTGCGCGTGGCTAAGCTGAAAACCCTTTGATTGTGCATGAAATAGGGACTGTTCTTGTTGATTCCGGGATAGTTACCGGGGAAAGACTTCTAGACATGACTGTCGTCTATGCAGCCCCCAGGCCCGTCTCTTCCTGCGTAATAGAGATATCAATCCGTGTTTGGGTACAGCCTCCGTCCGGCAAATATCCAGTCAAGTAGTATTTACTTAGATATTTAAAAGAAATACATATTTTAGATTATGCGCTAGCTAAGCTACAGGAAGATAAGTCTAGAGAAGACTATATGAATTATACTTCAATGATTTCCTGTAGCCACCAAAACATAGATCTAATTTTGCCTTGAACTCGTCTCTCTTACGCCAATCGCGACTGGGAATTACATCTTCGTGGCCTTGCAGCTCATCTTGGACCCATTTAGATAACAAAAAGCTCCTAGGTTTAGGAAAATCTGGTACATTGTTTCCAACATTCTGAATGCGACGATCCTTTTCCAGCCAAGTGTATGACCTTAGTGCGCGCCGTTTTTTCATTAAAATACTCATCCCAATCATTTGGAAGCTTGTTACGAGACTTGTTTACATCTTCGAGTGCAAACATGTAGATATCCTCGTAATCAGCTATCCTTGCCGATTTTCCATCTATGATATGCCGTAAACGAGAGCCCTCCTCCATTTCCATGAATGTCCAACCTCGTTCTTCCTATTTTGGAATGTTTTCTTTAGCATGCGGCTGCCTGCTGTCACCAGTAAAGTTAAGCTTCTAACTTATTCTCTGATTTGTAGGCTCGAAGTAAAGATGACCCCCTGCAGTACCGCCAATGAAAGCTATGACATGAGTTGCGTAGAATGAAAGAACAGTGCTAAGAATTCCACATTTTCGAGCTCCGTATCTTCCATGTTGGGGTATAATTATAAGCTGTACTTTCTTCCCGTTGGAAAGTGTTCCGCGAAGTACATTGAACTAATTATAGGGTTTCTTGTATTTCGTTTTCTTGCTTCCAAGTGGCTTTCCAGTCTTTTCGATGGGAAATACTTTGTTTAGAAGAACATCTACTTTATCTTTGACCTAAGGTGCTGCATTAATTATCTTATAACGAACCCAGGCCCGCAGCATCTTCTTCTTGTATCCCTTTTTTTTCCAGATTTCTAAGGCTTTTTCGATTGATTTGGAATTAGGAATCTCTTTAAGTAAACTTTCGCCGTTGATGTCTGAACATTCTGGTAACATTTGGAATACTTTGGAGAAGGGTTGAATGATTTCTTGATCGACCTGGTCGATACAGAGGTCCTCTGAATCCTCGGGTTTATACACCCATATTGTGTTTTTTTCCAATCCCTTAGTAAGACAATAGCTTAATGCAGACCTAAACTTACGTAGGAGGTCTTCGCATTCCTCGTAAAAAGGGAGATAACTCAATTCTAATTCCAGATAACTTTCAATTCGCGCCTCGTCTTCATCACTCAAAGTAGAATTTCTACTCCTATTAAAAATGCTGTCCGCAAGATAATGGATCTCTTCTAACAGTATCATAGCTAGACCAAATTTCATAACATCTTGTCCAATTTGACTAAGTAGATAGTTGTGCCACCTTATACCCGCTAGGTTAAGGACAGAAACAATGCGGATAAGAGCATATTTATCAGCAATTTAATAGAGGTCGAAGTCCGACTTTTTCTTGTGCGCGCCACCTATAGCTCTCGACCCACTTAGTATAGTTCCACAATCCACAAATGTCGCAAGCAGGGAAATTGGCCACTAGTATAAGTCTCTCAAGATTAGAATTGGATTTTTATAGCCTTTGCCAAGCGCCGATATCAACCAAGCAAATTTAGTGTGAACATGACTAGGGTTTACATCAGATTCTTCCATATTGTCTTAGCTTCTGGAAAAAAGAATTAAGAGCAAGAGTAGCCGAATAATAGTATAAGTTGTTTTGGCGGAAATCAGGGTCCTAAGTAAAATCGCGAGTGTTAAGAGTTAAAGCAGACGATTTCATAGATAACAAAAGACACGACACAGCTGTTATCTAGAGATTTTGACCATTATAATTAGAGCTACACTTAAACGATTTCAATGGCCGGTAGGTGTCGCCTATTGTGATAGTGCGTGACATTGTGGGGATTTACATCATCGTAATGCTCATTGCGTCTGTCGAGTAAGCTATGTGTCACGAGCAGTCCTTGTGCGCTTACTATGAGACATTCAGTAAGACGAGCCATATTCAAAAGAATTTGGAGAACAGTAAGTAACGATTCAATCATGTAAGTGATAAGGTAGGAAAGGGGAGTCAGTCAGCAAACTGTAGCGCGGCGATTTTTCATGTGCCCTTTGCTTCTGCTTTGCTTCAAACTAACAATACCCATGCTTGTGAATGAAATATCTTATGAGTTCCTAAATGTTCGGGTCATACATTTCAAAGCTGCTGACCGTGTAGTCCACTAAGAATACGCACGTTGCTCGCGGCGATGATAGACAATATCACGCGGTCAACGAAACTAAGGTCGGAATTGTGTCAATTGATGCAACTGCAACCAAATATACAAAATAGTTGGATGAATCTAACAAACCACTTTTTACGTCACAAACAGTTACTGGAAAAAATCGGGTTTGCGATCTGACCACACTGACTGTGTATCACGTAGGTCTGGTAGTAACAAACTGGATGCTATCTAAGATTCGTGTGGTACGTTGAGTGAAGCGAATCCTTTCATAATCAATTTCATGTCGAATTTTGGTGTGGCAATAGCAATGCAGACCTGACAGGTGCCTATTGTAATGACAGCTATACCTCGGTAGCGTGAGTAAATGTTCAGGGGTAAGAGAGCACTCAAGATACCGGGAACGGTCCCGCTGCATGCGGATGTGGCACGGATGCTAAACGACCAAGACGACGGCAGGGGTAATCGCACGGATCACAAAACTCATTGTACAGATAAGCCCTTTTAAGTAAATACACATGCTATCTCTAAGCGAGTTGTCATCTATTTCACAAGCCTCCATATGGGTTGCCTTGATGCAGCACATCCATGCAGGCACGGCACGGACACCTGGCAGGATGGAGCTTAAGCCATACATACGTACGCGCGTGACAGCGTGCCTAGGGAAACAAGATTCATTGAGTTTGCGCCATAGACAGGTAAGCATGTTGCTGCGTGGCTAATGTGCTGTATCCAATGAAAATCAAGCTATCTAGGGGCCTAATTCTTGGAAATTTCATTTATGTGCCACATGAAATGTTGGCGTGATAGGGGGAAGTAAGGAAGACCGCACGATTGATCGGAAACTGCAACCAAACCTTGTGCGGAGAGGATCATGATTTGAGATTCTGCCAAAAATATACTAATTACAGGCCGGTTAGGGAATAGTTAGCCTTTTTCTCGTTTATGGAATGGGGCAAATCCGGCAGATATTTCCCCCTTGATTGCCACTTGATATGGTTAGGAGGCGTGAAAGAGTTAACCAGCGATAACTATGAGATGAATTCTGTGGTTAGATAATGTTAGTGTAGAGGTGCATAATTTGTGGTAAATGTAGTCCAACGTTTCCACTGATCTAAAAAATGCCGGCCGCCCAAAGCTGCGGACGCCAGAACCACCCCACTAGATTCATCGCGCACTGACCGGCCTTTGGCGTTTTCCTAAGTCAGCGTTATACCTTTGTAAAAGATAATCACCCGGTAGAATAACGTATGGATATAAATCCTGGATTTTGCCTATCCTGTATACAAGTCCGTCACTTCTAACAATTAACGCTGGCTCTTTGATTGCCTTGAACGCAAAACCGGGATTAAACTAGTAAGATTTCATGGATTTTATGTAGGTACTGCTACTGACTAGATACCAGACTCCCATGAGCCGTTATGGAACAACAAATCTGGAATCATGCATCAAGTCAAAATCGATCCAGGGGGTTCTGTCCTTGTGGTTGCGACATGCCGACACATAATCTATTGCAGTATCCACCCAGTCCGGCATCGTTTGGTGCACAACCGATTTCTCGAGCCCCTAATTGTGGAACCGCTTTCCATCACTCATACAGTGCTATAGAAGAACATACAGCCTCTTCGAGGCATCCCATAGCATGGGGTATTTGCGGCTGGCCATTGGATACGTCCCTAGTACATTACCCCAACACGGTATCTTCACCGCCCTATACCAGTTCACCAACTTACTGGTCATCCCAACCAACTCCCCATCAGTATCCAAATCTTCAGACTAGCCATCCTGCTGTTGGCACATATATTCAAGTTACCCAACTATCCGTTTACTGGAGCCCACAATCCTTGGTTCTACCCCAACAAATTGCTGCAAACTGCGAGCAATCCCTCCTTGAGTTTCCATATATCCCCCTAGATCAACCAGAAGTCTCTAAGTACTTATTCATGAGCGGCTCCAAAACATACCAATGCCTACAGCAATGTAAAGGCAGTGGCGAACTATGTTCGCGCGCATTTACAAGAAGATCAGACCTTCGCCGACACGAACGAAGTGTCCATCATTTAGGCGTCACGAACGTCTATTGTTGCCTATATCCGAAATGCGGGAAAACTATGGTAAGGAAAGACTCTCTTCTTCGGCACTGCTTGACACATCAGACAAATGGAGAGGGCCGCAACAAGATAATGAGTCTTGCCAAATCGAAAGAAAAAAATTCCAGCAACAAAGGGGACAAAATTGTGACTTGGTTCAAGAATGAGACTGAGCACGACTGAGACAGGCTTTAGAGCGGTTTTGTTTGCTTAGTGCTACACAGAATCGTGTAGGCAGAGCTCATTTACGCGCCTTTGTTGAGTCTCTTATATTTTGTAGAGTTAGGGAGAGTGTAGCTGTGTAATGTATTGAGGCTTACCTTTGTATTATATCACATCCTTAATCTCGCTATTAATTGATTGCCGTCGTGCGTATACTAATTCTGCCTTAAACTTGTCTCTCTGACACCAACCGCGACTAGGAATTACATCTTTGTAACCTTTCAGCTTATCTTAAACCCATGCGGACAAGAAATAGCTTCTGAGTTTTAAAAAATCCAGTACTTTGTTTTTAGCATTCTCAATGCGATAATCTGTTTCTAGCCAAGCGTATAACTCTAGTGCGCGCCGTTTTCCGTTAAATACTCATCCCAACGAATTAGAAGCTTGTCACGAGACTTTTTTACACGTTCAAGTGCACATACGAAAGCAGGGATACATCCAGAAACAAAGCAGCCACTGGGCCCAGAAGATCGTGAGAGCACACCATGGCTTTTCCCAGATAGTAGGCTGCCAGGCGGCATGAACGCTAAAAGTACAGATAACGAAGATGATGAAGATGAAGATGTAATGAAGTGGATTGATATCAAACATAATCTTTAGCGGTGGTCATTTAATATCCACCTGTTTCTAATGGGGTCGAATATTCTGGTCAAGGTTGCTTTTTTGTCGTCGTCGAACTTATCGGCATCTATTTTCGTGTTCCCAGTAGCTGTAGTGTGTTAGAATAGTTCAAATGATATTTTCGAGTCCCACGGTACCATCGAAGTGCATGCAGTGGATAGCAGGCAAAGGGTCGGGAGGCGCAAGGCCGTTGCTCGACTGTACGTGTAAATTCTCCTTGTCGTTGCGGATAGCTAATCGTCATTAGCACATGTAAATAATTCGATCATTTCTCTTACCCGCTGCCTTCTTATCTCCCGCATCCTTTCTTAGAGCATTGTTTTGTGGATCCATAAACCATGGTATTAACAACTCAAGGTCAGCTGACGTGACAACCTTCTCAGTGATTACCCTAAACATTCTGCTAATCTCCTCGAAGCATTCTTCTCTTTCCTCATCACTGTATTCTTCCCAGGGTATCTCGGGACTTTTTTCCGTCATTCCCCGTATGTGATAAACCGAGACGTTCTGGAAGACGTTAGTAACTTACAACTCAACTCACCGTTTGAAAGAGCGAATAATACTTTCAAGGAGTCCCATTGTGATTGATTAAAACCGAATTGTCTTTCAATCTTTTCGGTCCATTGTGGCAGGTTCTGATAGCCCGCGGCTACTTGCTTGTTGCTGGTTATTGATCTCAGGTTTCGATAGACAGGGGTCAAGATTGTTGTGTCTTTATGGCCAGACCTGTCGGAATCTGTTGTACTCTTGCTACTGCCTGCAACGTCTCAGCATACGTTGACTGTTACTGTTTGATTTCGTACTCAAGTGCATAGTGTTCTGGGCTTGTGTGCCTTGGATAGTACTGACGTGCTTCTCAGGTGTGAGCTTCCTGCTCAGCGGTATGTTTGGGCTTTTTGTGCAGCCATCGACGGCTGAGAGATATTAGCAGAGCCCAAATGACGCGATCTCTTTTCTAACGTGGTGTTGTTCCATTCGAATCTTTTTTGTTGTACGTTCCTGCTTTCCGTCTCCTGAGTTCCCTTTGAGAGTTGCGGATTGGTTGGGAGCCCCTTTTGTTCTTTTTGTGGGCTGGAACCATTTTTCGTGATGTGAAAGAAGATCCACAGCATTCAGCGAGACTTTGAGCCTTGTATGCAGGCTTTACTACAGTCTTGTTCTAGATAAGCAAGCTGGTTATGGGGGCTAGAGATGAGCATCAAAGCATCTAAGAGTCAGTGGGCGAGCATGGCGTGTGGCGAGTGCCACGTACAGAGCAAGTGCAGGACCAGAAGCAAGCCATCGCAACAGCTTCCTTCCCTCATTTTCCAAGGTTAAGCCAGGCCTGGCTCAACCTCGAACCGATGTTGGTTGCATACCACACCAATTCCAGCTTTGATTTACCAAATTGACTTCCAATTCGTCAAAGCCCAGTATGCTATGCTCGATACGTATGGATGTCTCACAATACTGATGCCGGTGTGGCGCTGGACAGCGCCCGGGACTGAGGAGGGCGCACGGGCTACTACTATTACCAGTAGTAAGGCCAAACAAGCTCGGACCAGCCAGTCTCCACAAGGCCGAAATCTCCAGGCCCGTCAGTCGCTTGACCGGAAGTTGCAGGACTAATGCTTGATTACGGCTCTCCTTGGCAATGAATTATCCTTGCTGGATGGACCGAGAGCCATTACAAGCCGATAGGCTGTGCCAAACCCGAGGACACCGGCTCCCAGGATCATATTATCAGCCGTGAACAGGCCATATCTATCGAAACGACACTTATATCACGCATAGGATTACAGTTAACCTTGCACGAAACAGACACGTGTCTCACTGCCCTGTCTATGATTGCATGGGTTGTACCCTGGAGCGATTATAACAACTCAGTAGGCCACTGATATGACTCAGATCAATACAAATCCCTTCGGGACGTCCGTCGCTCGATGGACCCGGGATGTTCGTATGTGCACGTTGATGTATCGGCAATGACATGTTGAGCTTTGTAGCAGAGCCACTGACCCGCGCCCTCTGCCCAGCATGCTATTGGACATGAGCGCCCTTTTTTGGCGACCTATTTAAGTTGACAAGTCAGAAAACAACCTGGTGGGCATGCGCAAAACCCTTGTGTGGATAAACAAGCTGTCGGTGGCCGATCGTGATAATCACTGTCAAGACAACTCTGATCGAAAAGAGGGTTACTGATCGGTTAAGAGCATAAGCAGATGACGGATGGCAGAAGAACCCTCCATAATGAGCTGCAGGTTACACGGGTCACTCATCTCTTTTTCCAATAGTCACTTTTGCGTAAGGGAGACACGGCAAGAACTCAGATTTGTCATTCTTTGGCCAGCTTGTCCTGTGCAACTGATCTTGGATGAATGTAGGTACGAGTTTCCAAAACAGTTGAAAGTAGTTTCTATTCAAATCTCATATCCTCGCCAACATTGCACGTCGATTCGATGTGGCCAATGGCAATTGTATGCGACAATGAACCTTCTGTTTCCCTGGTTATGCCGGCCTGTGCTCGTCTCGAACGGCATCGTAAACCGTCCTCGCGCTGCTAGTGCTCTGCGAAGTATTTTGTTTACCTTGATTCTTTTCTGGAAGTTGTTAGTGTGGACTATGCAAGGGTGACAGTGTGCACAAACCATGACTTTTAGAGATGGCTAACGCCTTTGAGACGCGCCAGTCGACAAGTGCTTGGGTCACCTCAGGACATCCT